GCCTCGGCCTCCCAAAGTGCTGGGATTACAGGCTTGAGCCACCGCGCCCGGCCCCACTGTCTTCATTTCTTTTCCTCCCTCCCTCTCCCCTCTCCCTCCCTTCCTTCTGGTCTTTTCTTTCCCTCCCTCCCTCCCTCCCTCCCTCCCTTTTGGAGACGGGGTCTTGCTCTTTTGTCCAGGCTGGTACAGTGGTATGAGCATGGCTCACTGTAGCCTCAAACTCCCAGGCTCAAGCCCTCTCCCACCTCAGCCTCCTGAGTAGCTGGGAGTACAGGTACATGCCACCAAGCCCAGCCAGTTTTTAAAATCTTTTGTAGAGATGGGGGTCTCACTGTGTTGCCCAGGGTGGTCTAAAGCTCTTGGGCTCCCAAACTGCTGGGATTACAGCCATGAGCCACTGTGCCCAGCCTGGGTCTTTTTTTCCCAACTCATGACTACTTTTGTGCCAGTAAAACTTATTTTAAACAAACTGGCATGCTTTTCTCCTGTGAATGTGACTTTTGTCAGAATAACGAGTTATGGGGTTCCCGTAACTGCTAAGATGGGTAGCAGGAAAAGGTGTCTTTCTTCCCTACAGAGGATTGCTTAATATGACTACACTCTCTGGTCTGTTCGTTGGTGCTTATCTGGAAGAGAACACAGGTGTGTTATCTTCCTGACAGGAGGCAGGGGTGCAAACCAGAGCTGGGTCCTTCTCCTTCCCAGGGGACTGGGAGCAGCATCCCATTTGAAAAGACCGTGCTTGATGACTTAGACGAAGACCTGAGCGGTTTTAGGGTTCTTTTGAGGCATCAGTTTTCTTAGCATTGCCGGCATTTTGAGATGCTCTTATGGAGTTGTTTTTCAGTCACCTGTGCTTAGCCACCCTGAGCATCTGACCCATCGCAAAGCGCCTGCAGGATCACACCCTAGAACTGCTCAGTTTGTATCATATATACTTGGCATCCTACAGTGATTTGGGAGAAATACTGAGAGCCCCTTTCTAGATGAGAGAGCTGAGGGTCTGCGGGCTGGGACCGGGATGACGCCACCAAATCTAGAGAGACCCTCCATTACCCTGCCTCCCGGTCCAGCTGCGCCTGAGAGACTAGCCGGGCCAGCCCCGACCAAACCCACCTCCTCTGCCCTTAGATAGTGGGGCCTGGCTGTGCCTCCCGCAGCAGCCGCAAGGACCCCCTCTCTTGCCCTGCCGTGCCAGGTGGCAACAAGATGAGGGTGGGTGCACGCCACCTCAGCCACACCAGAGCCTGACCCTGGGCCAGTAACTGGGGAACAGCATTTGAAGACCAGGCTCCCCACCCTCGCCCCAAGGCAGCTACTCACAGGTGATCCCAAGAATCTGCTCGTAGGCCTGGAAGGTCAGCAGTGGCTGGGGCAGCTCTCGAAGGAAGGTCTTCAGGATCACGGCAGGGATGTGAATGTCCCCATAGTCGTCAAAGTTCACGGGCTTTCCTGCACACAGAACACAGCACCGCTGAGGTCTGCACCCCGGCCTGGGCACTGCCGCTGCAGAATGAGCTCTGGGACATGTGGTGTGACATGTCCAGATGGGAAGCGCCTGATGCTGTCCCCATCTAGAAATGGGGGTGCTCTGGCCCCATCAGTCCTGATACCGCCCTCACTGCCTCCTCTTGGGGTCCCAGTGGAGGCTGGGGTGGGCTCTTGGCTTCTCTGTGGCATGCTGTGGCTCCTGGCTACAATGCCAGCTCCTTGAGGCCAGGCCCTAGGCCTGAGACAGGCAGGCCTGAGCTCAGCCCCGCGCCCTCCATGACTGTATAATGCACAATCGACTGTGGGAGCGAGCAGGACAGAGCGCAAGTCTCGCCAGCAAGACAGCAGCTTCATCAGTGTCAGTGCAATGCGTCCTCAGCTCAGGCCACTGCCCCTGCCCACAGGTTACACACGGCAGTTAAGGAAGCCAGGCTGAGCCAGTTCGGGGGAGCTGTCAGACAAAATACCAGCTTCCCTGCAATGCAGCCTGTCTCCTGAAAGCACGTGCCCGCCTGGTGCAGATGGAGAGAACCTAAGGGCAAAATGGCATCGTGCGGCCACCTTGTCCCAGCAGGGCCTGGGGGTCTGGACAAAGGGTCCCCACTCTGGACTACCAGTGGGCTCCTCGGTGGCTCCTGGGCCGCTGCCCCTGCCCCTGCCCTGAGCGTTTTCTGGGAGTTGGATGGGTTTCGGGGGCACTGCACTGCCTCTGCTCTGAGGCCCAGGAGCCCTGTGGTCGCTGGCCGGGCAGTGGCTTGGGGCTTAGGCTGCGGGGTGCCCTCACCGTGGTTGTAGAGCCGCTGAATCTCGCGGACGGTCTGCACGCTGGCGGATCTGCGGAAGAGGCCCTCGGTGCGCAGGCCTGCGGGAGAGGAGCTTCCGGGTAACTCACGGATCCCAGCCCATTGGAATTCCAGAACATTCTATGTCGCCCCCCTTGCCCGCCGCATCACCCATCTGTCCTGCTCTCCGGCTTTCCCCTCACTACAGCTTACCCCCACCTTTATTTATTCCTCAAATCTTTTCCATATTCCCCAGCCCAGCTGGTTTCCCACCTCTGTGGTCCATGGAAAGGGAAGGTGGAAAGAGACAGATTCTGAACTCAGACAGTCCAGCTCTGCCTACCAGCTGTGTAACCTCAGAGAAGACACTCACCCTCTCTGAGCCTATCTGCCTTGTTTATCTACAGAGTGAGGCTACGAGCTCCTGTCTCCAAGGGCTGCAGAGAGGACTGGACAAGGTGATCCCTGATACGTGCCTGGCACCCAGGGGCCTCCAGACATGCGGCTTCCCAGGAGGGCGAGGGCTGAGCTGCCCAGCACAGCAGCCACTGGCTGTACATGGCGATTTAACTGAAAATGAAAAATCCAGTCACTCAATTACATGAGCCTCGTGTGAACTGCCCTATTGGGCTCCTCCACAGTGGCTGGTGGCTGCTGTTTAGACGGTGGAGATAGAGGTGATGGCAAGTTCTACTGGGCAATTCTGATAGAGTTGACTGTGGGCCGGGCACAGTGGCTCACGCCTGTAATCCCAACACCTTGGGAGGCCAAGGCGGGCAGATCACTTGAGGTCAGGAGTTTGAGACCAGCCTGGCCAACATGGTGAAAACCCATCTCTACTAAAAATACAAAAAATACTAGCTGTGAGGCCGGGCGCGGTGGCTCAAGCCTGTAATCCCAGCACTTTGGGAGGCCGAGGCGGGTGGATCACGAGGTCAAGAGATCGAGACCATCCTGGTCAACAAGGTGAAACCCTGTCTCTACTAAAAATACAAAACATTAGCTGGGCATGGTGGCGCGTGCCTGTAATCCCAGCTACTCAGGAGGCTGAGGCAGGAGAATTGCCTGAACCCAGGAGGCGGAGGTTGCGGTGAGCCGAGATCGTGCCATTGCACTCCAGCCTGGGTAACAAAAGCGAAACTCCGTCTCAAAACAAAACAAAACAAAACAAAAAAACAAAAACTAGCTGTGGTGGCAGACGCCTATAATCCCAGCTACGCAGGAGGCTGAGGCAGGAGAACTGCCGGATCCCAGGAGGCGGAGGTTACAGTGAACTGAGATCGCGCCACTGCACTCCAGCCTGAGTAAACGAGATTCCATCTCAAAAAAAAAAAAAAAAAAAAAAATTGTATCAAAGAAGAAAACTTGTCTCCATTGTCAATTTATACAGAGAGCTTTCAGTGCTTCTGTTGGTTCATGAAGGCAACAACCCATGTGGCCTCTTGAGGCCTGGGGTGGAGGCAAGGGTTTCCTCTGGCCAGACCCCGCTGGCTCTAGAGCCAGGAAGAGAAACAAGCCTGAGCCTGCTCTGGGGAGCCTGTGGTGGATGGTGGGGGTGCCCCAGAACACCAGCACCTAGGACCTGGTGCAAGCATCTGGAGGTCCAAGTCTTCCTGGGACTTGCAAGGCGTGACCTCCCCTTCTCCTCCCCACTTCCGTCAGGCCCTGCAGGCTCACGCACCCCCATGGCCACGGGCCTCTGCACCTGCAGCTCCTCTCTGGGGCCCTTCTGCCACCTGGCATGGGCAGCCTCTCCCCGACCTCAGAGCTCAGCTCCATCACCAGATGGAAACATGAGAAAGAGCAGTGGCCGAGGGACCACAGGGTGGCAGGGTCTGGGGCCCACGGCGCAGGGTCTGTGGTGGAGCTGGGGTCTGCATTAGGGGGTTTGGCCACGCTGGGGAGATTCCCTGAGGAAGCAACCATTGAGCTGAGCTCTAGGGGCTGGAGGGGAGCCAGCCTGGCCTGGGGGGTGGGGATGGGGGTGGGTGCCAAACCCTAGCTGGAGAAACCACAGGTAAAGGCACCCAGGCTGGGGAGGGGGAAGACCCAGGAGGGGCCAGGCCAAGCCTCAGGGCTGGGACACCGGCTGCAAAGGGGACTCCCGCACTTCCTGAGGCCTGGCCTTGGCCACCTGGGACAGGAAGAAAAGGTGATCACTCCCTACAAGGTTTACTAAAGGAAACGCCGAGTGTCCTTAATCGGACTTTGCGTCTCCTCCCAGGGCCTGCGCTTGGTAGGTCTCAACACGTGCCTGTCCACCGCAGGCTGAGGGCAGAGTGGGCCCGCTCTGGAGGGCGAATAAGGCAATGGTGCCCGTTAAACGGTTTCAACGCTGTCGCTCTCCCCGCCTGCACTCCCCTCTCCCCAGGCAAGCCACTGTCATCTTTCCCCGTCCTCAGACCCGTCCCTCAGCCTCGTCTCCTTTCTGAAGCTCAGGGAACGCCGATCTCTGACCAGCCACACCCTGCATCGAGCCCTTCGGTGTCTGCCACCTGTCACAGTATAGAGCTCCGTGGGAATGTGCTTTAGGAAATAGAAAAGGACAGCGCTTCCCATCGCAGCCACCACAGCCTTGCACCATCTGGCCGCCACCTCACTTTACCCACCACGTCTCCGCTCCCATCGTCCAGGGCCCAGAGGCTCCATGCGCCTTCCTGGCCCAGACGTGGCCTGGTGGCTGGTCCCTCTCCTTTCTGCTGAGTGACTGCCGTGGGCAGAATTCTGAGATGGCCCCTGGACTCCTGGCCCCTGGGGAACACGTACTTGCAGTTTCCCAGGTGGTCAGTCAAACACTAAGCTAGGTACTACAGTCAAGGGGCTTTGCAGACTAACTCAGGGCCAAGCCCGTCGGCCTTAAGATACGGAGATGATCTTGCATGGGCCCGACTTTTACCCTGTGGCTTCTCCAGCCAGGGGTTTGCCCCCGCCGAATCCCCACCACCCAGGCAGGGCTGACTCCCCTCCAGCCTCCATCAGGTGAGTTTTAAAAGGACCCAGGTTCGTTCAGTGACAGAGAATGCAGGCCGGGGAGGGGATTCACGTGAGCTGTGGTCTGCGGGAAGAGGGGCCGGGTGTGGCAGGGAAAGCAGCGGTCGGAAGCTGCTGAGCCAGGCCCCGGGCTGACAGGCAAGGAAGTGGGCACTTCACAATGACAGCTGCCAAGAACAAGACCAGGTCACTGATCTGAACGAACTTGGACGTGGACTCTTCCCCAGAACCTCCGGCCTCCAGGAGGAAGCCCAGTCCGGCCAGCACCTGCAGTTCAGCCTGTAAGACCCTGAGCAGAGAACCCGGCCCCCATGTGCCCAGACTTCTGATCCACAGAAATGGAGATAATAAATTCGTGTTGTGTGGGCTGCGTGTGGTGACTCGTGCCTGTAATCCCAGCACTATGGGAGGCTGAGGCGGGCCAATCACCTGAGGTCAGGAGTTCAAAACCAGCCTGGTCAACATGGTGAAACCCCATCTCTACTAGAAAATACAAAAAAATAGCTGGGCTTGGTGGCGCACGCCTGTAACCCTAACTACTCGGGAGGCTGAGGCAGGAGAATCGCTTGAACCTGGGAGGTGGGGGTTGCAGTGAGTGGGGACCACGCCATTGCACTCCAGCCTGGGTGACAGAGGGATATCTCAAAAATAACAAGAACAAAGGAATTGATACGTTTTTAAAGAGAGGGAGAGACAGACTCCCTGATGCAGTTTCTGATTTTCGGTCTTTAGGCACGCCACTCATAAGCACGACAGAATGGGAAATACTATAATGACATCTGGTCAAAGTAGACCGCTCACAATGACAGTCCCCCAGCTACAGTGGGGTCTCATAGAACATTCTGTGATCAGAACACGCCATCTCTGGGGCACAAAGGGAACAGACCACCACGGCCCTGGCAGCAGTGACTCTCACTTCTTGTCTGACACCCCCGCATCTGCGCTGCAGCACCCAGGCTCACCTAGCGCGCCTGCACCGGTGGTCCCAGGTAAGCCTCCCTGGTGCCTGCTCCTCCATGGGAGCCTCTTTCCCCCAATTAGGGTAAACGCGGCCTCCACGCACCTTCTCCACGGACCTCAGTTCTAGCCTCAGGAGCTGTGGAGAGCCCACAAGGCTCACCCCACTCCAAGTTCCTGGCTGCACCCGCCCCACCGGCAATGTCGTCTACAAATCAAAGTTGATCCTGTCAGAGGGGCCCCCATTTCAAGAGGGCCTCCTACAGACTAGCACCGTCTGAAGTGCTTTGCAGGCAACAACTCATAACAATCCTGCGAGTCACATGCTGTTTGTTATTAACCCCACAGGACAGGGGAGGGAATGGAGGCCCAGAGAGGGTGAGTAACGCCCCAGGTCACACAGCTAGTAAACAGGGGAGACAGGATTCAGACCCAGACCATCTGAAGCCAGAGCCCAGACCTGGAGCCACTGTGCCTCAGTCTCTCCCTTCCTGGCCTGTGGGGTGCTCAGGATCCAAGACGAACCACCCAGGGAGGGGCACCCAGCAGCTCTCACGTCACCCAGCCGGAGCTGGCCCAGACTCACCTTTCTCTCTCAGGTACGTCACTGTGAACCTCAGCACGGGGGGGATGAGTTCGCCTTGATTTTTGTCTTTGAGGCTGAGGAAAGAGAACAGAAAGTGAGAGTTTTTACCTGAGCTTGATGGGTGATCACAATGAGAAGAGCTGCTGGTCCTCTCCACACCCCTGCGGAAACACAGGACCCAAGCACTGTCCAGGGAGAGGCAGGCTCAGCCCTCAGGAAGTAGACAGTCTGGGGACCAATGATAAAATGATAGTGCAGTATTTGAGAACTCCATGAAAGGAATGTTTATGATACAGGGAAGACCTGTTCCCCAGGAGGCAACTTCAGAGCTGGGTTTTGAGGGATGAGTGGGAGCCTGCCAGAGGACAAAAGAAAGAAGGGCATTCGAGACAGGGAAGACATACCGGGAAGTCCCAGAGGTATGAGATGGCTGGGCTGTGACGGCAGAACCTGAAGCCCTGGACTGGATGCTGATTCAGTTAACAAACATCACTGACAAAAGCCCAGCACGTCATCTGGGTTGTCTTGTCTTTTACTGTGCTATTCTGAGACAGAGATTCACATAAAGACATCTTGGCCAGGTGTGGTGGCTCACACCTGTAATCCCAGCACTTTGGGAGGCTAAGGTGGGCAGATCACTTGAGCCCAGGAGTTCAAGACTAGCCTGGCCAACGTGGTAAAATCCTGTCTCTATTAAAAATACAAAAATTAGCTTGGCACGGTGGGATTAATAGATATCCCACATCTATTAATATATTAGATGTGGCCAGGCGGGGTGGCTCACACCTATAAACCCAGCATTTTGGGAGGCCGAGGCAGGTGGATCACAAAGTCAGGAGTTCGAGACCAGCCTGGACAACATGGTGAAACCCCATCTCTACTAAAAACACAAAAATCAGCCAAGCGTGGTAGCACACAACTGTAATCCTAGCTACTCTGGAGGCTGAGGCAGGAGAATCGCTTGAACTGGGAGACAGAGGTTGCAGTGAGCCGAAATTGCACCACGGACCTCCAGCCTGGGTGACAGAGCGAGACTTCAACTCAAAAAAAAAAAAAAATATATATATATATATATATATATAATTTATATAATACATATATTTTATAAATTATATATGTAAATTTTATATGTATTTTTATTTGTGGTGACCCTAGTTTTACATCATACGTATTTAATATAATACAGTCTATTTTCAATTTTCAGATGATATTACACCATTCCACTTACAGTGTAAGTCTCCCATCCCATCCTCCGTCTTTTGTGTGTGTTTCTTTTTCTGGAGACAGGGTCTTGCCCTGTGGTCTTGGCCTGCTGCTGCCTCGACCTCCTGGGCTCAATCAACCCTTTCACCTCAGCCTCCCAGGTAGCTAGGACTACAGGCATGTGCCGCCATGCCATGCCAGCTAATTTTTTGAATTTTTTGTAGTGACTGCGTTTTGTCATGTTGCCCAGGCTGGTCTTGAACTCCTGAGCTCAAGCAATCCACCTGCCTTGGCTTCCCAAAGTGCCGGGATTACAGGCCACTGTGCCCGGCCCGTCTTCTTAATACACTGTCCACTGCTCTAATATGTTTTAAGCCTCATACTACTTTATTATTTTTGTTTAAACAGTCAATTCACTTTCAAAGATATTCTTAAAATGAGCAAATCAATTTTTTCCTGTTTACACATATTTGCCATTTGCAACACACTTCATTCCTTTGTAAGGGTCCCAATTTCCATTTGGCATTCTATTTTTGAGTTCTGCAGTGCTTCTCTTCACATTTTTATAGTGTAGTTCTGCTGAAAATAAATTCTGCTTTTTTGGTTTATCTGAAACAGTTTTTACTGGGCATTTACTTTTAAAAGTTTTTTTGCTGGGTATGTAATTTTAGATTGAGAGATTTAGCTTTTTTTTTCTTTTTCAGTATAATAGAGATGTTACTCTGTCGTTTTCTGGCTTCCACCTTTCCAATGAGAAATCAGCTATAGGTTTTTTTTTTTTTTTTTGAGATGGAGTCTCACTTTGTTGCCCCAGGCTCAAGTGCAGTAGAGCGATCTCAGCTCACTGCTACCTCCACCCCTCAAGGTTCCGGTGAGTCTCCTGCCTCAGGACCTCCCGAGGAGCTGGGATTATAGGTGGGCACCACTATGCCTGACTGATTTTTATGTTTTTGATAGAGATGAGGTTTCACTACGTTGGCCAGGCTGGTCTGGAACTCCTGACCTCAGGTGATCTACCTGCCTCAGCCTCCCAAAGTGCTGGGATTACAGGTGTGAGCCACCACGCCTGGCCAAGAAAACCCTTTTCAACAAATGGTGCTGTAATAACATGCAGAGAAGCAAATCAGACCTTGCCTCACAACACATATAAAAATCTACTCAAAATATATCAAAGATCCAAATCTAACAGCTCAATTGTAAAACTCTTGGAAAAAAAACATAGGCATGTCAACCTTGGATTTGACAATGGTTTCTTAGATAAAACACCAAAAGCACAAGTGACAAAAGAAAAAAATAGATGGTGGCTCACGCCTGTAATCCCAGCACTTTGGGAGGCTGAGGCAGGTGAATCACAAGGTCAGGAGTTCGAGACCACCCTGGCCAACATGGTGAAACCCCGTCTCTACTCAAAATACAAAAAATTAGCTGGGCCTAGTGGCAGGCACCTGTAATCCCAGCTACTCCGGAGGCTGAGGCAGGAGAATTGCTTGAACCTGGAAGACAGAGGTTGCAGTGAACCAAGATCGTGTCATTGCACTCCAGCCTGGGTGACAGAGCAAGACTTTGTCTCAAAATAAAAGTAAAAAACAGGGCTGGTTGCGGTGGCTCATGCCTGTAATCCCAGCACTTTGGGAGGCCGAGGTGGGCAGATCATAGATCAGGAGTTTGAGACCAGCCTGGCCAATATGGTGAAACCCTGTCTCTACTAAAAATACAAAAATTAGCCAGGCGTGGTGGTACCCACCTGTAGTCTCAGCTACTTGGGAGGCTGAGGCAGGAGAATCACTTGAACCTGGCAGGTGGAGGTTGCAGTGAGCCAGGATCACACCACTGCACCCCAGCCTGGGCGACAGAGCGAGACTCTATCTCAAAAAAAAAAAAACAAAAAACAAAAAACAAAAAAAAAAAACAGCACTATCAGCTGGGTGTGATGGCTCACACCTGTAATCCCAACACATTGGGAGGCCGAGGCAGGCGGATCACCTGAGGTCAGGAGTTTGAGACCAGCCTGACCAACATGAAAAAACCCTGTTTCTACCAAAGATACAAAATTAGCCAGGCGTGGTAGCGCATGCATGTAATCCCAGCTACTAAAGAAGCTGAAACAGGAGAATCGCTGGAACTGGGAGGCGGAGGTTGCGGCGAGCTGAGATTGTGCTATTGTACTCCAGCCTGGAAACAAAAGTGAAACTCTGTCTCCAAAAAAAAAAAAAAAAAAAAAAAAAGAAAGTGACTATGTGGAGAAATCTGAACCATCATACCTTGCCGATGGGAATGTAAAATGGTGCAAAGACTTTGGAAAACAATTTGGCATGCTGTACACCTTAAACATAGAGTTACCACGTGACCCAGCAATGCCACTCCCAGACACAAACCCAAGAGAATAGAAAATGTATGTTCACACAAAATCCAGCATGCGAATTTTCAGAGCAGCGTTATTCATGATGACCATAAAGTAGAAACAACCCAAATATTCATTATAAATAAAGCGATAAATAAAATCTGGCCTATCGATACAACGTTATAATCAACACCATCATGGATGGACCTTGAAAACATGCTAAACAAAAAATCCACAAAAGGCCACATACTGTGTAATTAAATTTTATGAAATGTCCTAAATAGGCAATATTTATAGATATTAAAAGTACTTGCCAGGGCCTGCAGGAGGGAGGAATAGGGAGAGGCTGTTAATGGGTGCAGGGTTTCTTTTTGGAGTGATGAAAACATTCTAGAATTAGGCAATGGTGATGAACTGCTTTGTGCATATGCGAAAAACCAGTGGAGTCATCAGAGAAGGCTTCCTGGAGGAAGGGGTGATGAGGGAGGAAGAACAGGCACAGTGCCGGCAACAGGAACCAGTTCATGTGGTCTGCACACCCTGTTGTTAAGCCCCTGTGGTCCTGGAGGGTGAAGAGGGCAGGGTTTCACCTCCAGTAATGGCAAGAAATTGGACAAGTTAAGAAAAGTCGAACACTGTGAGAATGTGCAGGTAAGAATCACTCTTTAGCTCCCACCACCCCTTAGGGGCCGTCCAGGAAGGCAAGGCTGGGCAGACACCTGCAGTGATCTTGGGCCCCTCTGAGGGGCACTGGTGAGAACTCAGCCCTCCAGGACCAGGCCCAGCCAGCAGGCCAGGATTTTCAAGCTATCAAGTGATGGAAAATGCCAGAGCTTGCAGAGCGTGGTGGCTCACGCCTGTAATCCCAGCACCTTGGGAAGCTGAGGTGGATGGATCACCTGATGTTAGGAGTTCGAGACCAGCCTGACCAACATGGTGAAACCCCGTCTCTACTAAAAACACAAAACTTAGCCAGGCGTGGTGGTGGGCATCTGTAGTCCCAGCTACTGGGGAGGCTGAGACCGGAGACTGGAGAATTGCTTGAACCTGGAAGGTGGAGGTTGCAGTGAGCTGAGAGCGCCATTGCACTCCAGCCTGGGTGACAGAGCAAGACTGTCTCAAAAAAAAAAAAAAGCCAGGCACGGTGGCTCACGCCTGTAATCCCAGCACTTTGGGAAGCTGAGGTGGATGGATTGCCTGATGTTAGGAGTTCGAGACCAGCCTGGGCAACACGGTGAAACTCCGTGTCTACTAAAACACAAAAAACATTAGCCAGGTACAGTGGCGTGCACTGGCAGTCCCAGCTACTCAAAAGGCTGAGGCAGGAGAATTGCTTGAACCTGGGAGGCAGAGGTTGCAGTTCCAGCCTGAACAACAGAGCAAGACTCCGATTCAAAAGAAAAGAAAAGAAAGAAAATGCCGAGGCCAGGCACGATGGCTCACGCCTGTAATCCCAGCACTTTGGCCAGGCACGATGGCTCACGCCTGTAATCCCAGCACTTTGGGAGGCCGAGGCAGGTGGATCACGAG